ATCAGCCTGATGTGGGCCAGTTCCGTGGTTCTCAGAGTGGGGAGACCAGCAGCAGCACCAGTGTCTGCGTAAGAAATCTGGGTTCCCAGACCTACTGTGTCAGGAGCTCTCAGCAATCCGTGTTCTAACAGCCCTGCAGGTGACTCTGAAGCACATTTAAGTTTGAGAACCACTGGACTAGTGCAGGGTAGAAAAATGTTGTCAGCTGTCATCTTGACAGTAAGAAGTTCATGAATAAGCAGGCAACAGAGAAGTGGAGACAGGAGATACTGACGCTGCCTTTTAACATTTTTCTTTTCTCATCTTTAGCCCCAAGAATTTTAGTAGGGAAGAAAGGGGAAAAAAATAAGGTGGAATTCTTCCTCTCCATTTACATTATTATAGTTACAAGGACAGTATTAACAATGCTAGCTGCTCCCAATGTATTTTTCTCAAAATCTCATAACAACTTGATGGGGAGGTTGATATTATCTCTATTCTACCCATGAGAAAACACTCTCAGAGATTTTAAATAATTTGCCCAAGGTCACACAGTTAATAAGTAGCTGAGCTGAGATGGGAACCCGAGGGTTTTCACCCTGTGCTGAGCTGCCTCTCCTCTGATCGTTCTCTGATCAGGACAGTCCAATGGCAAGGAATTTAAAGACCAGTGCCAATCTCCTAATTTTTGGCCACTGAAATCTAAGGCCCAGAGGCGTAAAGTGAATTACCCCAAATTACAGGGCAGATCAGTAGTAAAGTTTGGGTTAAAAGCCAGAGAGGGTGTCTGCCTTCCAGCCCAGGGCTCTTTGCAACATGCCACGTTGAGGTTTGTTCTCAAACCGCTGGGACACTTGTTACATAATGTTTAAATTTATGTAGGAATGTGACTAATCCACATTTTTTGGTATTTGATCAGATGTAGAATATAAATGAGGCAAGCACGTAATTGAAAAACTCAAGAAATGGGAGGGCTGAGGAGCCCCTAGTGCCGAACAACAATGAAATGCAGGCTGCGTGAATAGTTTTCAGACAGCCATGGGTATGAGCTACAGTTTACTACATCTGCTGAGATCAATTCAGATTACAGCTAAACAATTGCAGAGCTATGCAGCATTTGCGTCTGATTGAGTAGAGGATTTGGTAATTACTAATCTTCCCAACTTATGCTTTCATGTGTGAATCAAGCAAAAATTAAATGTTTGCTGTATTCCTACCTGTCTCCAAACAACTGTCTGAGTTGTTCAGCAAAGCAGTGATCAAAGCAATCTGTTCATCATTTCAGATTTTCTCTCTTTTAAAAAGTCATTATTTAAAATTCTTTTTTTTCTTTGCCGTAGAAAAGATAGCAAAGACAGCGATGAATAGAATTTTCTTTCTTAAGAAACACCTGTCATTTGAAGAAGCACAAAGGCTGTAGAAGGAAAATATATATTTTTAGTCCTAGTTTTGTGTCCTTTTAATTATAATTATCTCAGAGAGCTCTGGGTACAAAAATATAGAACATTTAGCTAAAATAGATGAAACAGATCTTTAAAGGATGCTACTAAAAGGTTCCTTAATATATTATTATGCCTAACTGATTTTAAATGTCAGACCATAATCACCAAAATTTTAAAATGCTGTGATCTCTAGGTTGCTGCCTTTGACCTGAAATTCTAAAAGGTTAACAAAGCAGAATGATCAGTTTATTGAAAGAAATTTACAGATTTCAAGATGAAGTCCTTATAGAGGAAAGATTTGGGGGCAGTGTCACTCAACCATGTTCATGTTTGCAGCTGACATTCTTCAGTAGCCTGTGAAATATCCATTCTCCTGTACCACCTCCTTGCTCTGCTTTCTTCTTTCAACGGGAACCTCATTTTGAGTGTGATATGGTTAATTTTGATTTTCCTACAGCACTTTCATCAACTTCATGAAATCTCCTACCATTTGTAAGATTTGTAACCCCAGTTTACCATCGTGGTTTACTACCGGATGTTCACAACTTACTATCTGGTAGAGACTCATCTACAATTAATAGGATAGATACTACTAACATATAGATACTACTTTTTAACTAGAAGGGATGTTGCAGTGGGTACTAATATCACAATCGAGCAGTTCATTGGTAATCGTATCATACTCGGGTATGCTTCCTCCGTGGTATGGCCATATGGCAGAGAGTGGGTCTTGATTAGTCTCAGCCAGTCATATTGGCCCCATTCAACTTAGTAATTAGCTGAAGACATGGTCAGGTCATAGGATCCTGGCCTTTGAAACATGAGAGCAAGCCTCTTAGGAGGACTTCTTGGAAAGGTGTCTCCACTCTTCAAAAAAGACAACAAAGAGTGGCTCATTTTCTGCCTCTGGGTGTTGTGGTCATGAGGGGAGTCCGCGTGAGGAGAAGGCAAGATGTGGGAAAGGACAGAAGTGAGAGTCATGGAGAAGCAGCACTTGGCCATGATCCTGCTGTACCCAGGGAAAGCCTGTCTTAGTATTTCCTGCTTAGTGAGAAAATTAATTTCCTTATTGTCTACAACAGTGATTTTCAAAGCTTAGCACTCATCAGAATTGTGTGGAAGGCTGGTTAAAATACAGATTGCTGGGCTCCTCCTCCTGAGTTTCTTATTCAATGTACCAAGGGGTGGATGTGGAGAATCTGCATTTCTCACAAGGTCCCAGGTGATGCTGACATTGCTGGTGCCAGGGTGACATGTTGATAATCACTGGTTTAGAAGTCCATTGAGGCCAGGCGCGGTGGCTCACACCTGTATTCCTAGCAATCTGGGAGGCTGAGGCAGGAGGATCACTCTGAGCTCAGAAGTTCAAAACTAGCCTGAGCAAGAGTGAGACCTTGTCTCTTAAACAAAAAAAAAAAAGAGTCCACTGAGTCAAGAGTTTCAATAACTTGCAGCTCAAAGCATGCTAATTTATCTGCATGGGTGCTGAGAAACACATAAAGATGTAAAGGCCTTCTGCCTTCCAGGAAGTTTCAAGCCTGATAAATGTTTAGCTAACCAGAAGGAAATGTTCTATCCTGCCTGTCCTTTCCATTAATGATGCTAATCTATAAAAACACATTGATAAAACCTGGAACATAACATATTTCAAGGGAAAAGAGCACAGGCCTTGGAGTCAGACAGTCCCAGACTTAAATGAGAGCTCTATAATGCCATCTTTACTTGCAATTTACTTAGATTGTCCAAGTTTTCTGACTTATAATGAAAATTAACACTTTATTCTATGGACTTGCTGTGAGGATTATATGAACTAGAATGCAAAATGCTTCTAACATAGCACCTGATAGGTGTTCAACATACAAATCCCATTTCTATTTCTTTTTTCTGACTTCCTAACTTAAATACAACAAAAAAAAAAAAAAAAAAAAAAAAAAAAAAAAAAAAAAGAAAGAAAGAAAGAAAAGAAAGTCCTCATTATCTAAAACTTTGTTATCTAAAATCCTGTGCTTGTAAGATTGCTATGGAAACAAGTCTTCCTAAAACCAAACTATGTACCAATGAACTGTCCAATTATAATATTAGTACTTGTTTAAACATCCCTCCTTGTTGAAGAGTAGTATCTCTTCCTACACATCTATCATAATAATTGTAGATGAGTCTCTACCAGATAGTAAGTTGGGAACATCTGGTAGTAAAACACAATTGTAAATTGAGGTTACAAATCTTGCAAATGGTAGATTTCATGAAGTTAATGAAAGTGCTGTTGGCAAATTAATCATATCACACTCAAAGCCCCTGACAAATGAGAGTCTGGCAGAAGACCAATGACAATTTTGAAGTAAAACATCTGAAATTTTGATGCTAGCATTGGCTCTTTAAAAGAATGATTTGGATATCAAAGGCCTAAGAGAGGCCCTTGGTGAAAGTGGTGCATGTTTTCACATGAAGATTCTCTCCATGATCATGAAATAGAAACAAAGAATGTCCTGTTTATTAAATCATATTACTTTCTCATTAAAATGACGTCAAATTAGATAATCAGCACTCCACTCATTCTTAGGGAAAAAACTAATAAATAATTGATATTATAACTTAAATTATGTTAACTATAAAATAAAATAAATATATTTTCACAATTCTGGTATCATTTTTTTCAAGGTGAAATTCCACTCGCAACGTTTCCTTTATCATTTACTATAAAACCTTGGTTTCTGCTTTAAGTATTAATAGATTCACTTTAAAATATTGAAGGAAACAAATGAAGACAACGACATTATATTGTTTTGTATACTACCTAAATTAATCTCTGTTCAGGAGAAACTACCAGTTGCCTCTCAATATCTAGTCTTTTTTTCTCCATAGTAACAGAAACCTACGTTTTTGGCTGGGCCAGTGCCCAGCTAAATAGCTACATTTTCTAGCCTTCTTTGAATCTATATCTGGCTGATTAAATGTAGTAAAAGTGTTTTGTGAGAGTTCAAAGGGGGTAAGTGTGTCTTTTTCTTTCCTTCATCTTTCCTGCTATCTGAGATGTATGCAGGAGCCCCAGCAGCCGTCTTGGACCCTGAGTTGAAAACCACATACTTTGATGGTGCAATGAAAGGTGTATGTCTGCATCAGTGACATCACCATGGAGTTCCCATACCAGTCTCTAAAGGCCTACTTTTGGATTTTGTTATATGAAAGGCAAATAATTTATCCCATTAAAACTACTGTTATTTGGGGGGTTTCTGGTATAGATAGCATAATTCTAATATATCCTTTAAATTTTGCTAAAAATCTATTATTGATTTTTGAAGTGCATTTATACTCATTGCCTTAGACTTCAAGGATGGGGAAGTGGAGCAGCAATGTGTGGGAAAGGTGGGGAAGGAGGAAAAAAGTCTCAGGTTCAATTTTAGGTAGAATCACAAAAAGCAAGGCAGTCATATTTAGTTGATTCATATGTGATTTAGCTCTGAGTATAAATGTATAAATCCTTTTGTGTATTATTTGCATCTTATTTTGTTGTGTCGAGTCCACAGTGTTTGAATAGGAAGGGCATTTGTGATAATCTAATGCAATATCTGTCCATTTCAGGAATCCTTCTACAATATTCCTGTGGTATGGTCATCAGCCTCTACCAAAACACTTTGGTAAGAAAGTATTAAAGGTATAAGGCAGTCAATTCCATTGAAGGAAAGGACTTCCCTGTGTTCATTTTGCACCTGCCTATTCAAAGCTTCCACCCACTGGGTTACATAGCTCTATAGAGCTGAACTTTCTCTTAATAGCCTTTGTGGTTATTTAAGAAAGCTAATATGTTGCCTTAACACCTTCTCAGCTTTAGGCTAAACGTCCCAGGTTCTTTCAATTGTTCTTCTTTTCAGTAGTTCACAGACCTCTTAATTGCTCACTGACACATTCTGCATTGTCAACAGTCTTCTTTGCAAAAAAACTATTTCATTATTCTGTGTCTTACAGTAGCAGCCCCCAGACTTTTTGGCACTGAGTACTGGTTTCATGAAAGAAAATTTTTCCATGGATGAGGGTTGGGGGAATGTTTTTGTGATGATTCAAGCACGTTACATTTATCGCGTAGTCAAACCTCTCTGCTAATGACAATCTGTATTTGCAGCTGCTCCCCAGCACTAGTATCACTGCCTCAGGTCCACCTCAGATCATCAGGCATTAGATTCTCATAGGAAGCTCACAACCTAGAGCCCTCTCACACACAGTTCACAGTAGGATTTGTGCTCATATGAGAATCTAATGCTGCTGCTGATCTGACAGGAGATGGAGCTTATGCAATGATGTGGTGATATGAGCATGGGGAGCGGCTGTAGATACAGATGAAGCTTCGCTCACTCACTACAGCTCACCTCCTCCTGTATGGCCTGGTTCCTAACAGGCCACAGACTGACACCAGTCCACAGCCCAAGGTTTGAGGACCATGGTCTTATAGGAAACAGAGGGACATCATCTGCTATAATTACAGTTTTTATAGTTAATAGCTACAATCTGTGCCCTCTGCAGCCTTCTCTTCTTTTCATAAAACTTGCATATTTTCCTCATTTTTTCCTTAAATTCCCTTAAAAAGTGTTTAATCTCTTTCAAATAGGAGGCATAGAAATACCTTCCAAAACAAAAACAAACTAGCAAACTCACAATATCTTGGTAGAGAAAGCAGAATTTTGAAATTTATTCCAAAGTCTTTAAATCCCCGGAACTAAAATGAGATAAGACATATGGCTTTGAAAAATAGATCACATTCCCCACAGGGTCTGTGACTTGTTGGACTAAATAAAATCTGTATTAACTGATAATTTTCTGAACATGGGGAGCAAAAACTGATCCATCTGAACATGAGAAAAATCAACGATCTATCAGAGGAATAAGAAATGTAGAAACAAATAAGAAATATTGAACCAAGTCAATAGTTTCTCCTGAAAACACACACACACACACACACACACACGCGCGCGCGCGCGCGCGCGCGCACACACACACACCCCTAGTAAATCCTTTTGCAAGTTGCAGTGTTTCCCAATTATCTAAATATAAGAAGCTATGGGCAGCTCCAGGCTGTCTTATCTTTTCACAGATATTTGCCTTCCCTTTGTCCTGGGATTAAATCTTCTCTTGATCACTATCCTACCCTTCAGCTATTCAGTTCCCCATTGACAATGAAAATGTCACTTTGAAATAACTGTCCCAGCTATTTAGTTTGAAGATAGTTGAAAAAGTAGTGCTTTTGCAGGAGTTGATTTTTGATTATGTGATTTCACATAAAACAGACTAGGGTCAGTGGTCAAGTCCTGCTTCTTAAGGATTTTCTAGTTCATCCTTTAAGAAAGATTTTATGCCAAGAGTAAATAAAAAGCAACTGACCTTGCCTTGGGCCTCCCCCCCTCCTTTTTTTCAGGGTTATAAAACACATATTATGTCAGGAGGTTAACAGGTCATAGGTAGTGGTTTTTTAACTTTAAAAAAAATTGGGTCCTGCGTTGTTGTACGTTTTGCTAAAATGTTTGTTCCAGAATGGTGTGGAGTGGAGATTTCCAAAGGCTTCTAGATTCTCAGAGGGCTTTGCCTAACCATTCCCCCATATTCTATCAGCTCTCACGATCCCTCTCTTAGTAATGAGCTTTAGTAAACACTCTTCTTTTGTTGATGCAACCATGGTGCCTATGTGTCCCATAATATTTTTATAGCATCACTGACAAACGTACAGGAAAATGACCAGTAATCTTAGAAGTCAGGAGTCCTAAGTGCTACCACGTGCCCTGGATTCTCTCTGAGTGCTCAGAGCTAAACGTTATCAACCGTGCCATCTGCCATAGTTGCCGCCCTTTTCATTCCACAGTCTCCTTGCTTTTTTCCTACAGTATTACTGTGTATATTTTGTATTGTAAGTTTTCTCCACATTTTATTTGGAAAGAGGCAGAGTGCGATGGAATAAAGTGAACAGATCCATTTTTCGTGTGTCAGTGACTGACTTGAAGCAGTACTTACCTTCTCTGGGGCTCAGTTTCCAAATGTGAGGTCACAGCATTAAATTCGATTTGAGGCCACTTCCGGCTCTCACATTCTGCAACAAGGTGACTTTTGGGCTTCAACAGTGCACTGTAAGATAGAGTCTAAAAGGAATATGGTGCAAAGGCCTCCACCTGAATAACAAGGCTATTTTTCTGCCCACTTTGGGGAGGAGGAAGGGTACATGGAGCCAGTGCTAGCTCTTAAACAGAGTCTACACAGCCCCGGGAGGGATCTATAAGCTGAATCCACTCCTTACTGTGGCTGACGCATGTCTCACTTTTAAGCTTTCAGAGGATACAATTTGGTTTATTCAGAAACTATGGGTAAGAAGAATCAAACTACCTATAATAGCTTCATACTAAAGGTATTTAAGGGTGCTCCACAGAAAAACTGAGATAGGCACTCTGAGCTGCTCAAAAGGCGATATTCAATCCTGACACTATCAGGGTCACCAAGATTTATGAGATCCTTAGTCTTCATGCCAGTGCCAAAATCTTCATTCAAAACTTTCATTATTTATTTGTTCAGCAGGGCCAAAAAATTCTCCCAGGATAATGTTAACTTCTTCTTCTGCTGACCTGATCTGGTCCTCTAGGAACGCAGTTCCTGAGTAGATTCTGACAAGACAGAATCATGACCCACTTGCTTTCCAAGCATGCAATTTGGTTCTTGAATCTAAAAACAATGGTTTGAGAGCCTTCCTTTTTCTAACTTTGAAAAACTGATTACTTAAAAAAAACACTAATTAGATACCATGTTTCCTCTTTCTCCTTTTTTTTTTTTTTTTTAATAAGTTGGTTTAGTTAGAAAAGGCATTTCCATGATGCATCTAACAGATTTGCTTGCTGCAATGTGTTGGTAGAAATCTATAAAGAGTAATGGTTTGACGCTAAGTAGTGGGGGTGGGCCTGGCGTGGTGAAGAGAAGGAATAGCAAGCCACATCTCCCAATGCACAACTCGAAAGAATTCAGTGGTTCTTGAGTGTACAGTGTACATGTAAGAGTCAACAAGTAGACAAAGAAAATCCAGACCTTTGATGACCCCTGGTGAATAAACTAAGCACTGCATTGAAATGCAGCTAGAGCCACAGACTTCCCTTGCAGGCGAGCCCCTGGGATGACTCCTCTCTCTCTCCAGTAAGGCAAAGGGCTTTTTTCTCCCCCCATCTGCTTGTTTCATTTGTATTACAGGCATACTTTTCAGACTCGAGGCATCTGTATCTCTCCAAACAAGTCTCATTTTGGTGATCTCTGTTGGCGAAGATTAAGAAATGTGTACACCTACACTATTTTATACCTGAGCTGTGACCTCTTAGACATGCACAGTGCTATTCATGGAACACTAAAATATTCAGTGGACTCTGTAAAGCACGATCTGTAACTTTCTTTCAGATTAGCTATATATTTAGTATTGGTTTATGAAAGAGTAATGAAGAATAAATCAACTTTCTTATGTAACCCAAATTTAAAATCAGAATGTAAAAGTAATTACTTGTCCACAACTCCCGAGTACCAGCTAAAATACTCTTCTATGCAGCAAAAATCTGCACTTTTGTAAGCATCTATGTGTGACTATTGTGTGGTACATGTGAGCCAGAAATCTGGCTGTATTTTGTCAGCTTGCAGATGAGGAAATAAATTTGTTACTGTAAAAGAAGAATGGGGAGGGGGAGGGTGAAATATTTTTAGTGTACAAACCACGAATCCAATTATAAAAGTGGTAATGCCAAGTGCCTATTTGTAATCAACCAGAATGGAATCTACCTGAAAGAGTTATAATGAGGTGGAATATAAAACAGTTTATACTATTAATACAGTTTAGCTTATCAATATTTGTGTACCATAACTATTGGCTTTTAAGTTTTTGTTGCTTGCACAGGAGGTATTTTTTATAGCTCTCAGATTGGTGTACACAGGGTGTTGAATTGTTGAATTTATTCCCTCTCCTTTGCCCCTTTATAATTGTCACAGACAAAGGAATGTTTTTATCTCTGCTATGATTTAAATGTTCCCTCCAAAACTCATGTTGACATTTAATTGCCAATGTAATGGTATTGGAAAGTGGGGAATTAAGAGGTGATTAGATCATGAATGGGCTAATGCTGAATAGCCCATTGGGGTATGGGCTAAAGCTGTTATTAGATGAGTGGGTTAGTTATCTCAGGATAACTCCTGATAAAAGGATAAGTTTTGCCCTCACTTTCTCTCTGTCTTGTGCACTCACTCACACCTTCTGCCTTGGAATGATGCATGGGAGGCCCTCACCAGTTGCTGGTGCCATGCTCTTGGACTTCCCAGCCTCCAGAATCATGAGACAAATACACTTCTTTTCTTTATAAATTACCCAGTCTGTGGCACTCTGTTATAGCAGTAGGAAATGGACTAAGATGATCTCTAAAAAAGTGAACTAAGTTACATTTTTAAAAATGAGAAACTATATATATCCCAAATGTGTGCTTCTGCTTCATGGGTAGCCATCTTGGTCACTTTGCTGGGATTACAAGGGCTCAAGCAGACCTGAGCCATCATTTCCTTATGTGACCTTCAGGATGAGGAGCCTAGCATTCAAAAAATTTAATCAAAATTTAATCAAATGTAATCAACAATTTAATCAAGGTCATAAATTTCAAAGGTGGAAAGAATCTTAGAAGTTGTTTGATTCAGTTTCTTCAGTGAATCTGTAAACGAGAAAACTGAAACCTAGAATTGGGTGATGTTTCTAACACGGCACAGTTAAACACGGAAATCTGTCCCTTGCCAGTCCAGCTTTCCATCCTTTGCATCACTCCGCCTTCCTTGGGACATATGGAATGTATCGCATTTTTGTAGGGGGGAGACCACACCACCCTTGGGAGGATCAGGCAAATTGTTGAATAAAAAGTGAGGTGAAGCCGGGCGCTGTGGCTCACGCCTGTAATCCTAGCTCTTGGGAGGCTGAGCCGGGCGGATTGCTCAAGGTCAGGAGTTCAAAACCAGCCTGAGCAAGAGCGAGACCCCGTCTCTACTATAAATAGAAAGAAATTAATTGGCCAACTGATATATATATAAAAAAATTAGCCGGGCATGGTGGCACATGCCTGTAGTCCCAGCTACTCGGGAGGCTGAGGTAGAAGGATCGCTCGAGCCCAGGAGTTTGAGGTTGCTGTGAGCTAGGCTGACGCCACGGCACTCACTCTAGCCTGGTCAACAAAGCGAGACTCTGTCTCAAAAAAAAAAAAAAAAAAAAGAGGTGGGGAGGCAATATAATGAAACATTGATAAGAATTTAAGAAACAATTCAGTTTGGGGGAAGATTTATATAATTCTCTAAGTTTTTTTTCCAAATTAGAAAAAATGGTTTTGGTTTTAACCACATAATTCATCTATGTTTATTTCTTTATCACATGTTTTAATGAAGACTTATAACATTATATATAAAACATTACAATTTAAAAGGTTTGTCATAATATTATTATTGGGGTGATTGGGTTCCACTGTGTAGTGGTGGATATATTTCACTGTGTAGCTGAAGAACAAACAAATTACTAAGAATTTATGTCCTATATGCCTCATTGTTACAAGTATTTTCTGAGACTTTTCACACAAATAAGATGCATTTTGGAATCTTTATATATTGCTTGATGTCTACTCATCCGTCATGTCCATAGGAACTACATGTCCTGATTGAATAAATGTAGCATTAAAAAGGCTCTTCCTGAATAATAGCAGCAGGCCACTGAGGCAGAAAAGTAGCTTTGCATAAAGTGTTTTACTACATGTCCAAAATGCCTTCAAACTAAAGGTCATGTCCTCCGAATACAATTATCCACCCCAGACTCTAGGAATTTTTTCCCTTCAAAAGAAGATCAGCTGGGCATGATATGAGGTTCTTAGTAACTTAATTAAGATTTTCCTCTCAATACTCAATCCCTAAAACCAAAACAAGTTTCCTATTAGAAGTAGCAAGCTTTAATGGGAAAAGCATTGGGAATCTGAAACTTGACTTTGCATCCAACCTCTGCCCACTGTAGCTGTGTAACTTTAGGCAGATTATTTAGCCTGTCTTGGTGAATGAACTCAATGTGGAGGCTAAGAAAGACTGATTCCATCACAGTATGTGACTGCAACTTGAAGTTCTTCTGGACCTGGTTATAGGATAGTGATTTGAGGAGCCATAGACCTAACTGTAGAGCCCATTACAATATCTGAGCAAGAGTATCTCCACCAATCAAGCATCCCCTGGGCTGAGCAGGACCAGTGTTCAACAACCACACTGTATGGCTCTGGCTGAAGCTTGGCACAATAGACTGGAGGACTATCAAGTCTCTCCTAAGTCTAAATAAGTCTTTGAGGTGCTTTGAGATTTTGTGTATGGATGTGTGGCAGGAAGAAGAGAGTGGATGTGTACCAAATGATTGATTCTAGATTTTCTTCTTAAAATGGCAGATTTGGGCTCAAACAATTAATTTGAAAAAATAATGCTGGCATGAGTAGTTTAGCTTCAACCTAGATTTCTTGCTTATTATGCTGCTAAGGAAAATTTATAATATCACTGGCAATTCAACCAGTTTTGGAGAATGAGCTCTTCCCACATTAAAAACAAAGCAACACAAAACCCTTAAATGTAAAAAGGTGACACAATCTACACTGTTCTCCATAGTACAATCTTCCTTAGAGGATTGCATCAGAATCTCCTGGGTGGGAAGAAAGCTACTTTTCCTGATTTCATGCATCTCACATGTCCCTTCCCCACTTAGGATGACTGCTTAGGTTCATGACAATTTTTGCTAATGAATGTGAGTTGTGCATGTGAACCATGTGAAGCCAGAAAATAGGCTGCAATATTTGGGTTCGGCCACAAATACAAGTAGAAAGAAAGGAACTGATTTATGAAGTGGCCTAAGATTCTAGAACCACATGAATGGGGAGAAAATATTCTTCACCTCTCTAAAAATGTGTTATTCAATCCAATGAATATTTTTTTAATGTTACCTTCAATTTCTTACAGTGACGCCACATCATATGTGGCATGATGATCACTAAAGCCTTAATGGTCTGTGATCTACTTGTCTGCTTGGTCTCCTGCCACTGGCTTCTTGAGCTCTAATAATTAAGATTGTTTGACCTTTACTTGAACGCATCATACTGTTTCATGCCTCTACTCCTTAACATACTGATTCTTTTTTCTGGATCGTTTTCCTCCCCTAGTAAATTCCTATTCATTCTTAAAGACCTGACTCCAATGTCCCTTGTCACTACCTTTGCCCTAAGTAAGCATGATTAACTGCTATTTTCCCTGCATGTATCACATTGCATTCTATTTACTTGTAAACAGGTTTTTTTATAACCATCCAAACTATAAACCCCAAAGGGGAATGACCGTGTTATCTGTTGTTCATCTCTAGGTCCTGGAACATAGTAGGCCTTCAAGCAACATTTTTGAATGAACGATCTCCTACATGCATGGATTCTAAGCCCTGTATCAAAGGGATGGTAGATTAAGCTACAAAAACGAACACATGGCCTATTACCTCGGGAGATTATAATCATGGAGAGGAAATAGACACGTTAATCTTATCTTTACTTGAAGACAGATTTCTAAGGATTGTACTAAAGATACAAAGTGCTATGGGACCATGCGAGCCGAGCAGTAAAACTCCTGTTGAAAGAGCAATGAAGGAAATAAAGATTTATGAAATAAATAACAAAGGAAAGGACAATGATGAGAGAATTATTTTAATGGGTAAATAGGGAAGACTTGTGGAGGAGATAGTGTCTAAGCTGAAGTTTAAGAGGTGAGCAGTGGTGAAGACCGGAAAGGCTGAACAATTGTGTTGGTAAAAGCAGAGTGGTGAATGCATGATGTGTCAGGGGAATGACAAGCAACCCAGGCTGGGAGCAACGTAGTGAGTATAGGAAGGAGTGGCAGGAGATTTGTCTGAAGACTTGCATGGGGAGCACTATAAAAGCCTGGGATTTTATTGGGAAAGCAATGAGGAGCTGTTGAAGGTTTTAGAGCAGGGGAGTGAAATCTATTAACACCTGTGTTGTGTGAGGATTAAATGAGATACTACATGAAAAATGCTTAGAGTAGTGTTCGGTACATAGTAATTACTCCACGAATGCTTGCTGTCATAGTCATAAATTATTCCGAAGAAGAAATACATGTGGGAAGAGATTGAAGGGAAGGAAAAAAGTTAAGCTAGAGCAATAAAAGAAAATGTCCTTAATCCAGACAGAGGTTTTTCCATGAAAAGGAAGAGATAGTATATGCATGACATTTTAAAGGTATTACATAGGATGGAAGTACCTTGATCACCAATTGGTGATCTAAGAGGGAGCTGGCCTTGTCACATAGGAGAAGAGTGATGTTATAAAATTAATGAAACCAGAGGAGTGGGGGTTCTGGAAGGCAGATGATGGGTATGTGTTGGATGTGTTGAGTTTGATGGATCCGGGATCTCAAAGATGTCCCCTCACCCATTAGATATGTGGGTCTGAGGTCCAAGAAAAGAGGTAAGGAACAGAGAAGTAAATTTGTGAGTCATCAGTATAAAGGCGAGAGTTGACATAGTGCACATGATTTAAATGATCACCCTGCCCACCTCCCCCCCAAAAGTGTAGGGGAAGAGTTTTGAGGACAAAAAAATTTGTAACTGCTGATTTTTGGTAGGAGGCTGACTTTATGTCTAATAATATTAATACTTGAAACTTTCAGAGTGTCTTCTTTTCTCACCAGTCATACTACTCTCAATGCCAATGGCTGTTGTGTATAGCAAAAAACGGAATATACAAAGAAGCAACATAAATATGTATGAGCCAAGACAACACAATCAATACTCTCATCACAATAAAATACAGGTGCTTTAAAAGGGCGAAATAAGCATGTTATGAGTCCACCATAATGCCCCCTTAGCGTTTTACTAACCTGACCCTTGACATATTTTTAACTCAGGGAGGTGCTTCTTAATTAAGAGCAAATTTCCTTTTTTGTTGTCTCTTGATTCTGATATTGCATGGAACACTGACTTTTAACTATGTGCCTCATAGCTTTCACTCCATGAATGTTATTTTAAAATGGATGCATCTCATAATACTCTACAATGATATAGCTCTTTGCAGCTCATAAACTCTCAAAAGATTCTCTCAGTAACTTCATAGGGCAGGCTCTAATTATTCCCACTTTACAAATATAAAAATTGAATTTGAGGCATACTATAACCCGATCATGACACTGAGAGGAAACTTCTGTGCAACTGGATTTTAAAAACTGAAATATGACTAGGTGTTTAAGAATGATCAAACCACTTAATTTGTGGCACATGGGCACCATTGATCCATGCAAGTTATTCTCATTTTATTTTTCTTTTCTTCACTCCTCATCCTCCATTTCCAATTCCTTTTATTACCACAATAGGCACTACTGTCATGTGTATCAGCTATAATGTTGAGTGAAAAAAGTAAAGAGCAGAATGAGATGTATGGAACAAAGTCATGTATGCTCATTTATAATATAGAAAAAAAATCTATGTATTATATTTATGCATAAGTTCATATATGCATAGGGTGGGGGGGAGGAATATAAAAACTCGTTTTCTGGCTCCTAGGAGGCTTCTGGGAATTTTGCTTTCTAGAGCAGAAATCTTCAGGTGTGGAACATTGGCTGTCAAACTTGAGCGTGAATCAGAAGCTCCCCAGGGCTTGTGAAAACACATCACTGGGTCCCCTGCCAGAGTTTCCAATTCAGTAAACCTAGGGCAGTGCATTTCTAACAAGTTCTCAGGCAGTGCTGATGCTTATTTGGGACCACACTTTGGGACCACAGGCGTAGGGAAAGAGAGAAGCCTGAGGGATGGGCATGTAATCAATTCTTGGGCTTCTTCAAATTTACTCACCTCCACTAGACTTTTGATCAGCCGTACGCCCATCTTATACTCCAAGTCCTTCCTGGGTTTTTTTGCTCCTAGTTGCCACTAGTTTTCAATCTATTTCCTTCCCAGTTCTGCCTATATTTCGGTAGAGTGGACAGAGAGAAAAGACTTGCAGGCAAATCTATGTAGAGTAACAGCTCTGCCCCTTATTGATCAAAGTCTGAGCAAGTTAGTTAACTTTTTAATGTGCTCATATTCTCGTATCTAAGGACACACACACAAAAATAGTGCTGGGAAATCTTCAACTTTTTTCATTAATTGCATTGTTGGCAGTAATATTGACATTGCCCATTTTGAAACCATTTTATGACTATTATAAGGCAAAGCAAATAAGTTATTACAAATCAAGATGTCATAGGTAAAAGAACAGATATAAAATCAAAAGTTAAGCAAAAACTCTAGATTGTCAAATGGGAAGTGAAAATATCATGATTAATTTTTGCTATTTTAAAAATACATTTCCTAAATCTGACCACTGACTGGCCCCAGAAGCAATGAAATCACAGTAGTAATAAACATCCCTGATGCCCGGATTTTGGCTTCTAAAGACTATTTCCTACTAAAAGGGATCTGTGCTCCTGTAAGAAATATGATTTCTGGTCTAGGGTTGTGGTGGTACAAGGTAAGCTGGCACATTTTTGAGGCTAGAAAGCTAAAATGTATTTAATAATTATAATTGAGTAATGATAAAAGGAGACAGAGTTTAGAAGCTCCCACAGGGCCAAATTTGGGATAATTCAAACATTAAAAAGAATAATTACTGTAACCAACAGTAAATTGTAAAGCACAGTAAATACGTAAAACTTAATCTACATGATCCTCGAAAAGAGAGAGAGAGAAAAAAAGCAAAGACCTTCATTTGACACCTTTGGTATGACTGTTATACAACTTCTTACTTTGAAAATTAGTTATTAAAGAGAGAGAATTGACTGGGTGCCATGGCTCAGGCCTGTAATCCTAACACTTTTGGAAGCCAAGGTGGGAGGATCACTTGAGGCCAGGAGTTTGAGACCATCCTGAGCAAGAGAGCCAGGCCCTGTCTCTACAAAAAATTACAAAAGAAAAAATTAGCTAGAGGTGGTGGTGCACACCTGTTGTCCCAGCTACTCAGGAGGCTGAGGCAGGAGGATCACTTGAGCCCAGGAGTCTGAGGTTGCAGTAAGGTATACTAATACCACTGCACGCTAGCCTGGGCAACAGAGCACAAGAACATGTCTCAAAAAAAGAAAAAAGAAAAGGCAAAAGGAGAGAAAGAGAGAGAGAATTAAACATTTATCCTTCCTGCCTCTGCCCTTGATGAGAGTAATCTCTTCTTTACAGAAAAAAAAATAAATAAAAAGCCAGCTAATAAATGTAGAGAGAATGATAGCATTAGAAAAAAAGATCTCTCTAACAAAATAATTGCTTTACATAAAAGTCATCAATGATTACTAAAACTATTAGGTAAAATATTGATAGAAAAATGAATACTTGCTTGCCAGTTGCAAATGGACAAACATCTTTACTGTGGAAAGATTTGGTTGTTGCAAACTTAATGCACTGATCAAATGTAGCATCACTGAAAATGGGACAAGCAGGCATGGGAACAAAACAAAACATCTGACCTCAATTCTCCATAGAACTAATGTCATAGGGAAGAAGAAAAATCGAGGTGAAGTATTTTATGTTGTAAGAGACATAAGACATAACAATTAAAAGAATGTATAATCTCTGATTAGATCTTGGTTTGATAAATTTTGAGGTCCATTAGGGAAATGTAAATAGGGATGGGATATTAGGGAATTATTTTTTAGGTGTGTTAATGGTATTGTGGCTATGTAGGATAATGTCTTTAATTTTTAAAAAATGTATGCTAAAATATTTATGAATGATATGGCATGATGCCTATAATTTCTTTTAAATAGCTCAGCAAAAAGTTATCTAGATAAATAAAACAAACATGGCCAATTGTTAAAAATTGTGACTATGGCTATGCATTTTACTACTTTTTTACTTTTATGTATATTTGAGATTTTTAATAATGTAGAAAATTTTGAGTTTAAAACTATATTTTTAACATATTCTATATGTAACATGTATTTTAATTTGTATGTATATGTGTATGTGTGTGTATAGAATACCTATCACAAATTGTAGATGTTTAAAAATGTTAATTCCCTTCCTTAGACTGAAATAAGATGAAAAAAACAAACCATATCCTTGGCTCTGCTTAAATTCTTTTTTTAGAATGAAGTGAAGTTTAAACAAACACACAATAAATAAACAAGCAAGCAAACAAACTTCTCACCCCAAACTCCCTTCCACCCCATTCTTCTAATTGATTTACTTGGCTTCCCTTTGTTGTATCAACAGAGAGAGCCTTTAGCTTTTAATTCACTCTGGATAGTGCCAAAGACATTTTGTACTTATTCAAATCATAAGGTCGAAGAGAGAGAAAGTGGGAGAGAGAGCATGCGATGAGAAGACAGATGGAGTGGGGAAGAGATATGAGACAGATGGGCCTCTCTCAGAACAAGCCATGTCGC